CTGCTTGCGTGGCTGCGTTCAGCCCAGTCCGGTGGCGTTGCTCTATGGCTCCCATGCCCGTTGGGCCTTGGAAGGTGGCACCAGGAACTGCAGATGCCTGAGAGTTGTGCTAAGTGGCACCAAAGTGTTTAAAATACAGGATTTCACAGCAGCTTTACCAAAGGAACGAGGGGCCCGGAGACGCGTCTCCGCTGCGCACGCATTAGTGAGAAAATCACCCCGGGCAGTTGGGAGCGCGGAGGAGCAGGGGGAGCTCTGTGGTACAACTGTGCTAGCAGGTAAATGAGGAGGGTTGAGAAAAAAGGGATTTAAATGCACATGCTGGGGTTGGTACAGGCTGAATGCACCCACTGCCCTGGAGACCGCGACGCCGGAGGCTGTGGCGTCTCCCACATCTCGCATACGAAGCTGAAGTTGGTCGATTGCTCTTATGCTCGGCCGTTTCCCTGGACCAATGTGTATTCTAAAAGCACCTCTTGGGCAGCTCTGGTGCTTACCCCGCTGCTCCCTATTGCTTCTTGCTCCCATGGTCTCTCCTTGCAATTGCACGCGCCGGGCGTTGCGTTGCGTTGCGGACACCGCGCTCCTACAGCTGTGTTGCACCCAGGTTAGGTAGCAAGGGTTTGGGGAAGCAGAGGTGTTCGCTGCCTGTGTTCGTTCTTCTCCGAGGATGGATGGATTCTGAGGAAAAAGTTGGATTTAAAAGCTTGAACAAAGCAGGTATTTGGTCACAAAGCCACCCAGCAGCCTCCCCTCGGGAAGGGGCAGCCGCCGGATGCTGCGCGTACGCAGTTTTTCTCTCTTGGAATAGAGTCAGCCCTGCTAGAAGAAAATTAAAGCGCCTATCTCGGGCAAGCCATTAGTTTTGCATTGTTTAGAAAGAAAACCATATTGTATTCGCTCAACAAAACAGCGCAGGGCGTTGAGTGAGTTTTTCCTTGACTGCTGTTCACACTTACGCTTAATATGTAATTTAAAATCTCATTATGCTCTTCGCCATTGTGTTCCTTTTCTCCCGGGAGTGGTGACATATTTACAAATTGCAAGTTAAAATATGCTCCTGTAGTTGACCGCGCGGCTAATGTGCTTTCTCCCGCAGTGACGTCATTTTTTCTGCACAAATAGGGCATGCGTAGGCATTTTTCCCAAGGAATGTTTCATCTCTTTCTTTCTTCAGATCAGGAACGTTGAAACCAACCAGTGTTTGGACAACATGGGCCGCAAGGAAAATGAAAAAGTGGGCATTTTCAACTGCCACGGCATGGGAGGAAATCAGGTAAAATAAAATAATTTTTTAAAAAGAAAAAGTATTATTTGTACAATAATTGCTTCGGTCTGCTGCTGCGTGACCCCAGGCACAACAGCTATCAGGGAAAACCGACTGGGATGCGCCCCGAGCAGTGCGGGAGCTGCAGCCTCACCCGGTTCAGGAGGACGCGGGAAGCCGATTCCTCAAGTAACGGCTGCACACTGGGGAAAACCTATCGGTACACAACTGTAGGTCCCGTGAACCATCCGAGGGAATATATTGAATGTACTCCTGCTGTTTAGAGAGCAGAGAAAGGCTTTTAAAGGTTCAGGTACTAACATTAGAAAATTCGATCACAGATTTTGGTTTACTTTTTGGCGTTGGGGGGAAGAAAGTCTTTTTTTAGAATGAAACGGGCAAGAACCTACGTGACTTGGGGCTGAGTTCGTCTGTTTCTGGAAGAGTTTATTGGTATGCTGCGATAATTTGCTTACTGCTGGGAATGGGTAGATGTGTGTGAGCCGTTTCTGTAGCGGAAGGCCACCGCTTCCAGTAGGTCACGAGGAGTAATTGCTGCAGAGCCATCCGAAGGCAGCTCGCCCGTCGGCCACGGCCAGGTAGCGCAGGCTCCGCGGTTTTCCCTCGCCAGTTCCCTGCTTTACCGGCCGCAGCCGTTCGGTAAGTCATCTAAAAGTGTTCCACACATGAGATGGAACGGAGAGAAACCTTTGGTTTGGCGGCAGACGTTTATTCGCGCGACCGACGCAGGTTAGGCACAAGAAGAGGAGTTGGGCGGTGCTTGTGCAGCTGATCGCCAACCAAATAATCTCCCTGGAGAGCTGGCGGGGTAAGGAAACGCAGCACCCGCTGCAGAGTTTATGCGTTTAGTGCTTTGATTTTATTAATTGCAATATCCTAGGTGAATGCTGGATTTCCTAAGGGGTTCTCAGGAAGTCACTTAGCCCTTCTTGGCTCTTTCTGCCTTTTCCACCTCTCACCATCTCCTGTTTTCCCTAACTTGGCTTTCTGTGTAGCTCTTCATCTTCTGCACAGACCCGTTATGAACAAAACTAGTTATTGCTTATATTTTGTTAGTCCATTTTGCTGATGTACGATTCCCCTTGCAGACTTTTCGTCATTCTTACGGGCTGAGGTGACAAACCTTTGGGGCGGGAACCGTGTAATACTCTGGGTTTGCTGAGGATGCAGCCCCCGGTTGTCTTCAGCGCCGTTGCAATAACTGTGATGAACGGGGAACGAAGGAGCCGTGCCTGCGTGTTAAATAACGGCATCTTTCATTTAGCACAGTCAGGATGAGAATAACGCCTGGAGTCTATGGAAAAACTGAATTGCTGCTGCTTTAAATTGGTAGAAGGAGTCACCGGGGAACGCGGGAAGACGAGCGCAGACGTGTGACGCTGCGGTAACGAAGCCTGGGCAGATGAAATGCAGGATCCCAGTGCTGGCTGTACCCGCTAAGGAGCGTGGCTTCGGCACGCCGTAACGAACGCTGTGAGATCCCGGCAGCGACGATGGCTTTTTGTGTCTAATGTGTAGGTGGCCATCCTTTATGAGGGGGCAGCTACCTGGGGAAAAACAAACAAAAAACCCCACCAACCCAAAACAAACCAAACACCCCCCCAAAAAATCCAAATCCTCACACCCCCGTGGAGCCAAAAATCAGATTTTATTTTTTTTTCAGTTTCTGTGCCAAAATGCTGAATGCATGAAAGCCCTATAGAATAACAGTGGTTTAGAAAAGGAGAAAGGGTTCTGTGGTGGAGGAGAAAGGTTGGAGTGTAGGAAGGTGCCTGCCATCAGCACCATGGGCTGGGCTTGCCAGGGCCGTTGGCTGAACGCGATGGAGCCGAGTTCCTTAGCAACCCCTTAGCCTTGCTAAGCCGAAGGGTTTCCTGCAGATCCCTACTGTGGCTGCTGTGCCGGTCCCCAGCAGGTGCTGCCAACCGGTTCTCTTTTCTTTCTTTTTATTTTTATTACGTTGACCATTTAGTGTAGTTCCAACTGTTGACTCCAGTCAGTGGTAGCTGGTGGTAATTACAGTCTTTCTCGGGATTACGGTGAATCACTCTGAATTACAGCGTTCCTGTCCTTGGGACTGAGCGCCGGGATAAAGGAATTCCTGGCGCTGGTGGTTAGAGGTTGAGGCAACAGCAGAAGGGGTTTTCCATGAGCTTTCCAAAATGTGAAGGTCAGCTCTGGCTTGGCCGTGTCTTGTTCGCTGATGACTGTGGGATGGGATGAGTTGCTTTCATGACATCAAAGGTCTCAGCATAACCTCCTCTTTAGAAATAAAATCCAATCCCTACTTCCAGAGTGGCCGCAGGGAAACCCGTGAGCTGTTCAGGGGCTCCAAGCTGGGCACGTCTTCAGGTCACCCAATAAACTGCAGCTTGAGCCTTCATTAGATTTAATGTCCTGGTGGGATGCATGATCTTGGTGGGTTTGTTTGGGTTTAGTTGAAATACCTTCCTTTGGGCTGAAAAGGAACTGTTAAGAGTATCGAAAACTAAAACTTCTTGTCGTGGTTTAACCCCAGCTGGCAACTCAGCACCACGCAGCCGCTCGCTCACTCCCCCCACGGTGGGATGGGGGAGAGAATCAGAGGAGTAAAAGTGAGAAAACTCATGGGTTGAGATAAAGACAGTTTAATAGGGAAAGCAAAAGCTGCGCACGCAAGAAAAGCAAAGCAAGGAATTCAATCACCACTTCCCATGGGCAAGGGGGTGCTCAGCCACCCCCAGGACAGCTGGGTTCCATCACGCGTAATGGTGACTTGGGAAGGCAAACGCCATCGCTCTGAATGTCCCCCCCCTTCCTCCTTCTTCCCCCAGCTTATATACTGAGCATGACATTCCATGGGCTGGAATAGCTCTGTTGGGGTCAGCTCTCCTGGCTGTGCCCCCTCCCAGCTCGTTATGCCCCTGGCCGAGCAGGAGAAGCTCAAAAAGCCCTTGAGTGGTCTGAGCACTACTTGGCAACAGCTAAAAACATCCGTGTGTTACCAACATTCTTCTGGTACTAAATCCAAACCACAGCACTATGCTGGCTACTGTGAAGAAAATGAACTCTATCCCAGCTGAAACCAGGACACCTGTTCTATAAATCATCTGGGATTAAACCAGGGCTGGATATGTCCAAGCCAAAGGCTGCAGGTGGAGGGCTGGATCTCTGGGACTGTTGCCACAGGAGGTGCTGCCAAAGTCAGCCTGATGAGTATCCAGTCCCCAGCACTGGCTGGGCACCACAGGGCCTTCTGGGCAGGTGAAGCAAGCACACGAGCGTTTCTTTTCATATGGTTAGATTGCATGCTGCATAGGTAGAGAAGGCTGAGAGGGGATCTCATCAACACCTACAAATATCTCAAGGGTGGGGGTCACGAGGACAGAGCCAGACTCTTCCCAGCGGTGCCCAGCGCCAGGACAAGGGGCCATGGGCACAACCTGAAGCAGAAGAGGTTCCAGTTGAACGTGAGGAAGAACTTGTTGACTTTGAGGGTGCCCGAGCCCTGGCCCAGGCTGCCCAGGGGGGCTGTGGAGTCTCCTTCTCTGGAGATCTTCAACCCCCGCCTGGACGCTGTCCTGTGCCCCCTGCTCTGGGTGAGCCTGCTTGGGCAGGGGGGTGGCACTGGGTGAGCTCCCGAGGGCCCTGCCAGCCCCAGCCATGCTGGGATTCTGTGATAAGTAGGAATGAAAAATGGGATTATTTTTTTCTGCCCCCTCAAGAGCTTTCTTTGCATAGTGGAGTGCTGGAGCTGGGTATTTTCTCCTCCAAAGAGTCAGCGCAGTTGTTCTCTGATTCGGGATGGATTTGCCTGCCGGACACCAATCTTCCAAGAAAGTCTCTGATGGAAATGGCGAGACTGCCCGCCCGAGTCACGCGGAGCCTTTTGTAGGTGCCCGTTCTGGGCTTGATCAGGGGCTGAAATGCTTAAGTGATCGGCTGGCCTCGGTAATGACCCCATTTCAGGGAACCAGCAAAATATCCAAGTCCTTGTCCCCAAAGAGACTCAACTGGCAATTGAACCGTGAGACTCCCGGATCCTTTTTGGGTGGTGGGGGAATTGGCTTCGATTCACCAGTTCTGCCTAAGGTGACTTTCAACATTTGGTGTGTAAACAATTTCAGGAGGAGAGGGAAAGTGCTTTCCTTGCAGCTTTCATTAGAATATTTTAAATCAATTGTGAAAGGTGAATTCAAAATTTACCTTTGGGAGCGCCGTAGATGATTAAAGCGGTCGTCAGAATAAATGAGATTTTTCTGTCCTTACTTATGTCTGGTTTATAACTGTCTGTATCACGTGGCGGGCTTCTTCCTTGATTGTACAGGTGCATCCTCAAGACTTAGTTCCACATAATGAGGTATAAAATAAGGGTTTATGAACAATATTCGACTTCGTGTGAGCTGACAAAATACCCTGGCTAAGTGTTTTCCAAAGAAAAGGACGACCAAACAACGGGAAAGGGAAATTCTGGCTGTGGGCTATTGCAGCCCACATATACATATATATATATATATATACACACACACATATAAAAACATAGCTAAAGATTTGTATTGACCGCTCGAGTGATTTCCAGTTAATGATGTTGCCTGGCGTTTTATCGGTGTTGAACAAGCGGGTTAGTTCCTCGGGCTTCCATCGGGAGGAATACTTCGTTAGTTCCTGTTAACGAGAAGGCAGTCGGGAAATTCTCAGCGGTAGGTGAGGCGTCCCGGTTCAGTCTGGCGATGCCACGGTCCCCAGCATCAGCTTTAGTGGACCTGTGGCTTTATGGGGCTTGCTTCTGCCTCTGAACTCGCTGGGTGGAAATGTGGCAATGAAGGCTATTAACAAAAAATAAATACAAAATGTGTTAACTCCTATGAAAACCTGCTAGTGCGCAGAGGCAATAAGTCTGCCTGTATCAGGATTGCAAGCATCGCAAAAGGCCAAGGTGGTGGTGGAAGAGTCGTGGTTCCCTTTCGTTTTGACCAGCCCCACAAAAAGCAGGAGAGAGTGCAAGCGTT